ATGTACAGGTTTGCAACAATAGGAGAAACTGGGGATCCCATGGCGCACCCATGTTTCTGCCTATAATATTGCACCCCGTACGTGAAGTACAGTAGGTTGATTCCAGGCACAGTTTGAGGAGTTGGCACACTTGTTCTGTGGAAAGTGTGGTTCTGCTGCTGAGAGTGGTGTCTGATTTCAATCTTGCACAGACCACATCCACTGCCTTATCAACAGGAACGCMCATAAATGCAGAGACAAAACAAACAAAAACAACAACAAACAAATGAGAAAATAAATCATTAAAACTCTGGACATGAGGACAAACACTGACGGTCTCCTGTGGACCTCTGAGGGTCTCCTGTGGTTCTGGACCCGACTCGTCACCAGCAGACCTGTTTAAGTCCTGAACTCTGTAAAGCTGGACCTCCATGGACCAGACTTGTTGGTCAGAAACCTCCTAGATTCAGGATCAGACTGAGATCTGGAGACCATGGATTCACCTCCATCTGGTTCTTGGTCTTCAGACGGTTCTTGAGGTGTTTCTGGGTCGTGGTCTGGACCATCAACAGGGTCTGTAGGTTCTGTAGGTTCTACGGGTCAAAGGAATCCAGGTTTCCCAGCAGAACTTTGTCCAGAGCATCGGTCTGGTCCACCTGGACCCATGTCTTCCTCACCTGGACCTGGACCCTGCAGGTCTTAGATCAGACCTTCTTCCAGCAGTTTGTTGTTTTTATGAAACTTTATTCTGAACTTTGATCCTGTCCCTCCTGCAGAGGACAGTTGTCCCTGTGGGACAGAGACACGTTGTCCAGCTAGAGACAGGAGACATGAAGGAGCTAAAATGTGTTGTCTCTCTGCAGGTAAACTCCGCCCCCTCGCATCACCTGACATGTCCTCACCTCCATCAGAGCCTCCCAGGTCCCAGCTGAGACTGGCCCCAGCACTGGACTCCCTGTCCATCTCCTCCCTCCTGTCGGGGGGGCCGGAGGATGAAGGAGGAAGAGGAGAGGAGGAGGAGGGACTGGGGGACYTGGAGGTGAACCCGTACGATGGTCTGCCCTTCTCCTCCAGGTACTACGCCCTGCAGGAGGAGCGGCAGCAGCTTCCTGTGTGGAGCCTCAGGCACAAGCTGCTGGAGCACCTGGAGACCCACAGCATGGTCCTGCTGAGTGCCGCCAGCGGGTCGGGCAAGAGCACCCAGGTACCAGCAAGTGACAGGAAGTAAAGAGGAAATAACAGGAAGTGAAAGGAAATAACGGGAAGTAAAGAGGAAATAACGGGAAGTAAAGAGGAAACAACAGGAAGTAAAGAGGAAACAACAGGAAGTAAAGAGGAAATAAGAAGGATCAGGAAGTGAAGAGGAAATAATAGGAATTAAAGAGGAAATAACAGGAAGTAAAGAGGAAATAACAGGAAGTAAAGAGGAAATAACAGGAAGTAAAGAGGAAACAACAGGAAGTAAAGAGGAAATAACAGGAAGGAGCAGGAAGTGAAGAGGAGGAAATAATAGGAAGTGACAGGAAGGAAAGAGGAAACAACAGGAAGTAAAGAGGAAATAACAGGAAGTGACAGGAAGTAAAGAGGAAGTGACAGGAAGTAAAGAGGAAACAACAGGAAGGAACAGGAAGTGAAGAGGAGGAAATAATAGGAAGTGACAGGAAGGAAAGAGGAAACAACAGGAAGTAAAGAGGAAATAACAGGAAGTGACAGGAAGTAAAGAGGAAATAACAGGAAGTAAAGAGGAAATAATAGGAAGTGACAGGAAGGAAAGAGGAAACAACAGGAAGTAAAGAGGAAATAACAGGAAGTGACAGGAAGTAAAGAGGAAATAACAAGAAGTAAAGAGGAAACAACAGGAAGTGAAGAGGAAATAACAGGAAGTGAAGAGGAAACAACAGGAAGTGAAGAGGAAAT